TTTCTATCTTATTAAACTGTTATTTTCAGGTTTCCTACCATTTAAAGGTAATTTTGTATGTGGCCAAAATAACTCAAAATACCGTGACTGAGCCCCTTAAAGAGAACTAATAACATCATGGAAAGCAGAACTAACTTGTAATCCATTCGGCTTACAGCAGTAGACATGTGTCGAGGCGAGGACGGACATCCATAATCATTCCGTGCGTCTTCGGGGATGAGATCGACATCGTGGAAGATTACACAAGCAAAGTCATCCGCCTTCACTGCTTCGCTGAAACCAACGTTCATGAGCATTCCTCGGTTAAAGGCTTCGCCGTCAGCCTGGAAAAAAAATCGTATCTCCCTTTATGAAAATTACTGTTATTGAGACAAAGTTTCACGTAGGGGTGTTAAGATTAATAGGATCCTATTACCCGGAGCGGGAAAAGGCTAGTTTGAAAATAACTGTACTTCTGAAAACGCCGTTTCACAGACTCTGTATGGAAGTTGCACCCTCCGGGTAATGGGCCTCTGGCCTTAGGTGATAATCAAACAACTAGCCGAGAGAATAAGTGGCACGGTAATTATTTCAGTTTACCGTACACAAATTCGATATTAGTCACTGGCAATCAGAAAGCCTGTCCAGCTACTCTCCTGATATTCTGATGTGGGTGCGATATCATGGTCGCTTGGTCAAATTTGGGTACGATAAAAGCCTACTGGTATGGGTATTTTGGCTGGTCTACATCTCGACCAAAAACGAGCCATAGCTTAACTAAACCTATGAAATACCGCCGAAGCACACCAGACAGGCGCGATTAAGTATCAGAAGTAAATGACGGCTACTCCCTAATATTCGATCTAAAAAAACAAAGCGTACACTAGTTACTAAGGTAATAATCAAACAAAAACTATAAAGCAATAATCAAGCACATACCAAAGCGCGCTCAAGTAACTACAGTAATAAAAAAACGCAGGCCAAACCCCACACAAGTCAGTAACGTAATAAGCACAAACCAAAGCGCGCACAAGTCACTAACGTAATAAACATGTACACAAACCAAAGAACATACAAGTCACTAAAGTAATAACCACAAACCAAGTACACACAAGTCACTAACGTATATAAACACAAACCAAAGCGCCCACAAGTCACTAACGTAATAAACACAACCTAAAGTACACACAAGTCACCAACGTAGTAAACACAAACCAAAGTGCACACAAGTCACTAACATAATATATAGATTTAGGCCAGCCTAAAAGCGTAGCTCCTGGGCCAGGTTGTTCAGAGCCAAATAACCCAGGAAAAGGTAGAATTTTAATTTGAGTTTTGTAACTTTGCGGCGAGGTTTTCTGTATATTGTTTGGCCTTCTGTTTTGAGTTTTAATAATCACTATATACACAAAACAAAGCAGCAAAAAACATTTGTATGGAAGAAAAAGTTATAATTCGGTTAACTTTTAATCCTGCGTTAGCGTTACCCGGCTTCCCAACAATCCTGCCCTGTTTTCAACAAGTTAACCTGAGATGAGCCAGCGTTCCAATAAACTAGTGAGACAATCTCAGATAGTGCAGAGCGCAATTGATAGCTCTGATACAGTAGTCCCATAAGTACTCACCCCTGCTCGGTTCACTTC